GGAGGAGATTGAAGATAGTGGTAAGCAAAAGGAAAAGGCAATGCCAAAAGAGACCTTCAAATCATGTGTGAGACTTGTTGCTTGATGAGGCCTGTACTGGAAGTGAATGTGGCATCTAGAAGGTGAGGATAAAGTGGTAAACAAACATAATAGAATCGAATTATTTAGGTACCGTGATGGAATCAAATTCTGACTAATTTGCTATAATTGAGATTCTTGAGAATATAGATTCAGTTATAAACATGCTCGTATATGGTATCTTGTTCCAATTCCTTTTTCATCTCCGTGATTCTTGTAGACTAAATATGACGTAAGTATGTGTCCTATTTTAACTGGTATCTTTTCTTGAAGAGGTTGGCAACAGAGATATTTACACATTCAATACATTATTGTGAATACCTAACCAGTCATTTTGTAAATGAAAATATTTTAATTATGTCATACAAATTTTAAATTTCACAAGAAAAACTTAATCTCTTGGCAAAATTGTGTGTGTCAGTCATTCTAAAAATTCATATTGATTATAACATCACAATTTCATGTAGCAACATGAACATAACACATTATGAGTTTGAAAGATTTAAATCATCTAAAATTGAGATTCTTGAATTTCTTAAAAGTTTTTCATTTTAGTAATTTTTATAAAATATAAATTTTTTTTATTCATTAAAAAGATACACTTCATGTAATTTATAAAATATTGATTTCAAAGAATTTAAATCTAAGTTTGAAATACTAAAAAACACATGAGTTCAGTATTACCTATCATAATTAAAAAAGCAAATGACTCTTAGGGCAAGTAAAATCTAATACAGCCATAGGCCATAGCCATTTCAAAAGTAGTTCAGTCTCCCCACTGTATCACTGTCATTGTTATTAGTATCAAGACCACACTTTAGAATATTATTATTAATATTATCCTTTTATAATGCTATCTTCATTTATACATAGGTAAAAATAGAAGCAGGTAATGGTGATAATTCATGCCGACCAGTCAAGCCTGAGACATATATTTAGTCAAATAAAAAATTACAGATGAAAGGCTTTGAATAAAGATCAATGATCTGAGACGTTTATTGGATAATTACGTATGAAAGTTTTTTTAAGAAAATTCAATAAAGCAATTAGAAATTCAAACGCATGGGCATGTTAGTAGAATATGAATTTTCATCTTGAAACGATGAATAATAATAATAATAATAATAATAATAATAATAATAATAATAAGAGTCTCAAAATACAATTTCCATAAAACCTTTTTTCCCCCTCCTTTGGTCGGACATAGAAGCAACTAGAAACAAGCTTTCGTGTTAATGTGTGTTTGAACGTGTAAGAACACTAATTCAAACACAATCAGAATAGAGAGGCCTCCTTTTAGCATGAGAACATGTATAATCTGAATTTTCAAAATGTTTTCTTCCTCGTGCAGCGGAGCGCAAGTTGTGCAAGGTATTTATTTATAAATCTTTTTTTTTTTGGCGTATCATACCAAAATTATAAGTTTTATATCTTCAATTGACAATAAAATAAAAATATAATTAATTAATTATATCTAAGTAAGTTATATATATATAATTAAGGTTTAAATAATAATTTGATCCTTAAATCATAGGTTTAAGAATATTTGGGACCATAAACTTGTTTTTTCTGTAATATTTTCTTTCAACTTTTGATAATTTCTGTAATGTAGCTCATATTGTTAACAAAAATTAATTTTGATCATTAATTAACTACAAAATTATAAAATAGGACATAAAAAAGTTATAAAAAGTGATCAAGAAAATTTTTTTAATTCTTTTTTATAATTTCTTGTGTCCTTGTTTGTAATTTTTGGGACTTTTTTTTATAACTTTTTTGGTTCTTTTTTATTATTTTTTGATCAATTAATATTTAAAGTTAATTTTTATTAATAACAGGGATTACATTTTATCGTTCTCAAAGGATGAAAAAAAATATTGAACAAAAATCAAATTTAAAATTATAGACTTTTGATATGTTTGGAGTTAAATTACCCTTTAGGCCTTAACCCTATAATTGAATTAGGCGCTTATCCTTTTTTTTTTTTTTTGAAATGCTTAAAATTGAATTAGGTGCTTATGAGCGTTCTCTTATTGACAACAGTTCTGTTTGAGACCTAATCAGATAGTGTGACTTTGTATTTCTTGTTCCGAAGAATGAAAAAGGCATAGAAACAGGCTTCAAAAAGGCCCAATATCTGACATGGGATGATCTCCGCCTTCGAGTTTCGTCAGTCGTCACTGTTGAGGTGAGATGCCCAAATTTTCACGTGAACGCCAAAAAAAGACAAAAGGAAAATGGAAAAGATATCATTATCAAATTGGTAGGCTAGTACCTAGTATCGACTAGTGAAGTGACGTTTAAATGGACAAAAACAAAAGTGGAGATGGAAAACATGTGATTTGAGCATCTGACTTTATTGCCGGGGTCAGTATTGAAGAGCCGATGTTCCTCCAATAATGGATAGCAAGAATGACGTGGGCACAAGGCGTCTAAATGCATGCTCTCCTGATTTACGTGGTGCTCAATCCTCCGCGATATTTAATTTCATATTCTCATTTATTTTATTTATAAATTATTTTTAGAAAAATTAATCTTTTAATCCTTTAACTTTTAACTCACTTGTAACTCAATCTCTCAATTATGACTCGCTGTGACTCAATTCCTCAACTATAACTTACTGCGACTCAATCTCTCAACTTTTGACTCACTTATAACTCGGTCCTTATTTTTTAATTTTTTTAAAAGTTTCTTATCAAATAAGAGGGATAAAAAAATATTCATATATTATTTTAAAATAGCCTCCTTTTGCTTATTGATGTAAGATATAAGCTAACATAAAAAAAATTAATAAAAATTAAAGGACTAATTTGTAAGTGATTCAAAAATTGAGGGATTGAGTCACAACGAGTCATAGTTGAGGGATTAAGTTATAAGTGACTTAAAAGTTAGAGAACTAAAAGATTAATTTTTTTTTATTTTAACATCTTCATTAAAATAAAAAATATTAAACTTCATTTATTTTATTTAAAAATTTTAAAAATTTTATTATTTCTATTAAATATGTCGACTTTAAAATAAAATACTCTTGCATTTAATAAATTTTTTCATATTTAATAGAAATAAAATAGTAAGAATAAATATAATGATGATTGAGGTGCTTATAAATAAAATTAAAATAAACATTCACTCTCTCTGCTCTAATATCATGAGAGGAGTACCTCCTCTCCATTTTGATCCCACACCAAGCTTATTATTAATCTCTTTACATACATATATAGATATATTAAGCGGCAGATTGTGTACGGGGCATAGCTGGCATAGTATTTAGGGAGAATGACAATTGAAGACCGGTAAAGAAATTACTAACATAAAGACCATTAAGTTCTAAATCATGATTTCTCAATTGTAGATTCTTGATATTTCAATTATACAAAGTTTTTTATACTTTTTAAGAATCATTATTTATCATTTTCTCTAGTGTCTATTTCGCTTAGAAATTTGCTATACTTCTTCTCAATAAGTTCAAATGAAGAAGATTAGTGGAGGCATAATAATAGCTGTAATAAAGAAAAAAATTTTATGTACTTAATATATTTATTTTTAATTAAATTAAGACATATAAATCTTTTATAAATTATGTATTTCATAATACATTTTTATTATTAATATTATTAATACATTAAAATCTATTTGTTTCAATTTGATTGAGTAAAAATATATTAATTATATAAAATTAAGTATATAAAGCTTACTCGTACCGATATACACACATGTATATATCTTCGTGAAATTTAGTGGAGGCATCTGTCCACCTTAAACTTGAATTTTATGTAGGTCTGTCTCTCTGTGTGCATATACATTATTTATTATATAATTGCTAACTCTCATCTTCTTGATTCAGTACGTTACACCGTATCTTTTTAAGTATCATATTAAAAAAATTTAAGATATTTTAAATTTTTTAAGATGTAATTAATACAGTTTTTTAAAAATATTTTAAATTTTAATTAAGAGTATAATTAATAATATTTTTAATTAAAATTATTCATTAAATAAGAGTAAACATAAAAATAATGAACAATTTTAAGTAATATTAATTATTAATTAATTTATTAAAAGTGTAAGTTAATTAAAAATTTATAACATTACTGATAAAAATTGGAAAACCAGAGGTTACTTGATTGAGTTACAAGAGAAGGAAAAAAAATGTTGAAAAAATTCCACCTAGAGTAATATATTAAGCTTATATATATATACACACTCCCTCTATTTAAAAATATAAGAAATTTTTAATTAAATTTTATCCTTTAATAAAGTAATTAATTACTTTCTAACTAACCCTATCTTTTCATTTTTACCCCTATTAAATATTCTATAATAAATATAAAGTCATTATCAACACGGATACTTTTAAAAAAAGTAATAATTGCACCTCGAAAGATTAAAAATACCTTACATTTTTTAATATTTAATTTATTAAAAAATATCTTATATTTTTGACCAACGTGAGTATGATTAAGGGTAATTTGAATTCTTAAACTGTACACAAAATATTACAAGTATTTTTAAATTTAATTATAAATCAATTTTATCTCTCAACTTTAAAAGTTTTATTTTTTATCATTTGTTGTTTTCTCGCCAACAGTTAACCTTTAGAGGGCTCAATATTATATTTTTTTAATATTTTTTATTATAAAATATTTGAGTTAAGAGAAAAAATATCCTTAATTTAATAAAAATATTAAAAAAATAATAAAAATTATTAATAATTAATAGACATTAGATATTTTTAATGTTACGTGATTTAAAAAAAATTTAATATTAAAGAATAAAATTTATTTATAATTAAATTTAGATACATTTATTATCTTTTATATATTATATAAATGAAACATCAGCAAAAGAAAAAGGCATGGGAAAGAAAACAAACCAATTAGAGAAAAAGTTCTAATAAGTGGGCCACATGGACCTCCATTCTTCACTCTGTTGCCTGCCTCTCTCCGTCTCCGTCTCCCTCCCTCTCTCTCTCTCTCTCGGGTCGGCTCCGAGGAAGGCGTTTCTCGTGGCTGAGGATCCAAGAAAGCGATCCTCTGTTCTAAATAAATTCGAATCTGGGTCTTCCCCTTTCCTGGTTGTAAAATGCTTCGAAAACAGACAGATTAAAACAAGATAAAATATTCTTCCAACTTTTTTTTCCTTCACGTTGGGCCATCAGCATCTACTCAGGGGATCCTAACTTGTGTTTATCCTGCATCGACTCTTATTTCTGGTTCCACGGTTTTCCGAGTTTCTCTGATCACCCACTCTTTCGGCTTTAAATTTTACAGGTAAAGCATTTCTTTCTTCAATTCACCTTAACTGTAATTCTGCTTGTTTTTCTGTTTTTGGGTTTTGAGTGTCTTTTCTGCTATCAATTCACTAAAATTGTTTCAAATTTCATTATTTTGGCTTGGGACATGTACTTCAATTGCTGGATTCTATTTTTCTTCTTTTGTAGCTTGCCCTCGTCTTCTTCCTTCCTTCTTTTCTTTTGTATTGAACTTGATTATGGTGGCGTAGGTTTTCAAAATTTAGTAGAATTTGTGTACCGAAGAAAGTGCTGATATCAGGCAATTTAGCAGTGACGTATGGAGTAGTTTTGCCTTCATATTGACTCCCCATGAATGCTTGGTTGCCGTTTAATGATGGTAAGCAGAGAAAATGTGACATGCTACTATATGTATTAGATTTAGATAAGTTAGTGGTTCGCTGACAAAGGGGCTGGATTGGACGGATTTTGAAACCTGTAGGGAACCGAATTGTGAACAAAAGTGTGTGTAGGGCCAACTTGAATAGTCTATTGGAGGATCAAAATATGATGTTTGTTTTTAGTTAAGGATACCTTTCTGGTTGTCAAACATCCGGATGTTTTTCCCTGTTTGAGTTGACTCTATTTTCAGGTGACATTTGGGAAATACTAGGATGAAATTGTGTCATGCAAGAGAAAATTAAAATGCCTGAAGATATTAGTCAAGCATATCATGAAAACGAGGCAATGGATGCTCAGCCATTAAATGGTTACCAATTAGTATGGATGGCTCATTGGAAGCACACAGATTTTAAGTCAGCAACTCAGGATAATAATCATTTATCGATTGATTGTGACTCCAGAAGAGAAGTCGTAGAAGACAGTGTTGCCGAGCAGGATAATGTACAAGGTGGGCCAGATGTTGCAACAGATACTTCTACAAGCACTGGAGCAATCAGAGAAGCAACTAAGGCTACAAAGGCTACCATCATGAATGGGAATCTACAAGAAAACCCTGGAAATTTAAGGATAAGAAGCTTGGATTTCAAATCGTATCCTATTTCTGAAAAGAGAGATGGTAGTTTGTCTCTAAGGGGCGATCAATGTGCTATTTACCATAGCGAAGTTATGAAGTCTCAAACTGATGCAAGCTTTAAAAATAATATTGTTTCTCCGGGGAAAACTGAGATTCGTTTGCATTCTGAAGGATTTTTGCCTACTAAACTATTGATGAATTCTTCCAATGCCATTGAGAAGAACAAATTAACTGTTTCAGCATCTGCTTGGAGTGATGTAAAGTCAACTTCTGACATGATGCCATATGCATATAACAAAGGCAAATCTTCAATGCCCACCTTAACACATGGGCAGCATGAAATATATCAATCAAGCTACAACTTAGCATCTAGGGAGCATTTCACAAGTACTAATCATCGGAGCTATTCATCTCTTTTGATTCATGAGAAGACAATGAGTAATCTGTTGGACCCCCAAACATCTGGGTTTTCAGGATTGATGTCGAGTAGTCTTGCTCAAGAACAACATGACCATCATTGGAAGACGCAACATTATACTGGTGCTGCAAAGTGTGCAAGCCTGACCAGCCCTTTTGAATCAAGTAAAATAGATAACTTTTGTCATGGAAGCTCTCCTGTACTTCAAATGCCCAGTTCTGATCATGATGCAAAGACTGTGAAGATATTTACCCCCATAGAGTCAGGAGAAGAGTCATCGAGAGGCCGCACCAAAATCTTTCAGACAGCTCACCATTTTCCCATGTCGGCAAATACTGATGTTTCTGGAAAAGGGCAATTCTTCAGAGAGTCAGTAATTACCACCAAATTCAAAGGAAATGCTTCCAGTGAGATACCTTATTTCTCCTCATCCACTGGTGAGAATGCTCTGGAAAGTGCGAAGCTGAAAACACCAGGGAGCTCTACGAATAGGGAAGGAAAAAGTGTCCAAGATGTTGAAACTATGACAATCCTGAAGAATGAATCATCTGCTGAAACTGAAACCATGGATATAAATGCCTTACAGGAGGATCAATTTCCTGGTAAATCTGCATCCTTTAAAATGAGATGTTGAATTATGCTATACCTTAGGTTTCATACTACAAATAATTCCATAAATGATAATTTCTGGTGAGTTGTTCCAATAATTTAAAAACTTCACATTATACTAAAGCTTACAATGAATTGAAGTTTCCTAGATAATATTATGAATGTTGCCCGCATGGTAGCTATTTTTTTATGATGTTTTTTAGGCTAAAGGTTCTTTTTTCTTTTGGCAGGTGATGTTACATTGCCATCAAATAAGGTGATTTCACCGTAATTCCTGATCTTCTGGATGCCCTTTTATTCTCTTTTCAAACACCTCTTTCTTGCTTAAGCACTTTGAGCAATTAACATCTTTGCTTGTTTTTGACGATTTCTCCATCGTAGTCTAGCGTATTGGAAAAACTGTTATTTCATTAATTCTGCATCCATATTGATGACAAGAAACATTTCAATGTTCAGCATGTTTACAGATACAGCTAAGTTTAATTACGTTGATTTTTCATCCCAGACGTGTATACATATATATTTTTGTTCTTATATGCTTTTTTTTTTTTAACTGGTTCTTAAAATTTCATTATGTTATGATATTATTTGATACAAAATTTGCTGGACCATTCTCCGGTGCCTTTGCTGTTCTCCTTAGAGAATTGCCTTGTAGAAAATATTTGATTGGACCTTTTTTTTTTGGGGGGGGGGGCATTTTTCAAGGGTATTATCTAATACTACCTTAAATTTCAAGTTGCTAATATGGTCGCCATAATCAAATTATGAATTTTGTAGTTCCTCAAGGAGAGTCAAAACTCGTTAACCTGTCAAGGTGCAATAACTTCTGCTAAGGAGAGGACAGAAGCAGAATCAGCAAGTGTTGCGATGCATGATGCAAACCAAGAGCCTCTTAAGCTTCACACTGTGACAGGTCCAGTGGATGAAAGGGAGACTAGCACGTCCAAAACCCAAAGTCTGGATGTAGAACACCTCCTTTACCATGCAGCAGACCACGGAAATTCAAAATCCAAGGCCTGTGGCAATGGTTCTTTTGGATCAGAACCAAGCAGCAGATGGTTAAAAAGACTCAAGCTCTCTACATCTGATTCTGCTCTTGGTAGCAGGAATGAAAAATTTGGAGAGACTTCCCATGAAAATGCACATATCATTTTCAGCAAAATTTTGAAAGGCAGAAAAACAAATTTGGAACCCAAAATAATTTCTCTCACTGAAGGGCCGAGGGTACCAGGTCTACCTGCAACTGTATCATCAAATGGCGGGTCCTCTTTCGTCAAAGCAAAGCAAACTGTAGAGGATTCGCTCTCTCATCCCTGGATTCAGAGATGGAGTCATAATGCCACTGCTTCTTCGCCTGCAAAGCATGAAATGATAGATTTAGACCCTGTGATGGAAGGGTTTCAAAAGAAGCAATTTCCAAGCATTGCTGCGATGGCACTGATGGGAAAAGCAATAGGCACTCTGCGGCCATGCGAGATTATGAAAAAGGGACCCCTTGTAGTTTGGAATACAAAGAATTTATGAAAGTATTGTCTCTGTAATTCAAATTTAGCATAAGTTATGCTAAAGGACCACAGGATAAGCTCTGGTGTGAAGGATATACTGAAGAATCCATGGGATGAGGTTGCTTCTTCAGTGGCTGATATCGTGCTGATGAGTGTGAGAACTTCTCAGGCTATATGCTAAAAGATCATTCTGGCAAGAGGTGCATTTCGTGCGGAGACTGAATGTATTATGTGTTTGTTAAAAAAATAGGTTTCTGATAGTTGAAGTTCAATATACCTACGTAACTGAGGAGCACCTGGGGGGTTTTTTATGTTAAGCCATCAGTTTACTTCATTCCCCAAAAGATGTTTCTTATTTTACCATCTTCTGAGATCTGGAGTAATCGAAATGATATATAAACAGTGCTTGCGTCAAAGGATGGTATGTATACGATATGAATTGCATATATGTTAATAGAGGAGATGAAAACCGATAGTTTGGCTTTGTGCAAAACAATTTTTGTTTGAGAGATTTGATATGTGAAGAATCGAGAATGAAAAAATACTGCTACGTGGTCCTCGTTTTAATTGGCGAAGATAGTAACCAAAATTGGGGGAAATGATAGTGTATTCGAATCTCAAGAATCTCTGTAGAGCCAAGGTGGTACACTTTATGCTCATTAACCTCGGTAAACATGAGTGAAGCGGGGAAGCGTAAACAAGATCCTATAGATTTTATCGAAGCTTCTTGTCTGAAGAAGATTTAATTGCAAAATATTTATTAAATCTTTAAATTAAATGAAAAATACTATATCTTGATCGGAATTCATTGTAAAACAAAAAACACTTGTTTAGACTTTTACAGTTCAAATAAAAAATAAAAAATCATGTATAAAAAACCACATAAAAGTCACGTGACTTTGTTTTTAGCTATATTTATTTTGCTAAAATGTTTAATATTTTCGTAGATTTGCTGACGGCGAAAAAAAGAACATATAAATTTACGGTAAAATTACTATCCGTCTTATTTTTTTAAAAAATTCTGCATAATTCTGTTACTCCCTAAAGAGCTTCTTTTCGGTTCAGCATGCATTGCTATATTTTAAAATTTTAAAATTTTCGTAGTAATAAAGTTTAATTGAAAAAAAAAAGATAATCCCACCAAAAGATTAAAAATATTCATATAATTTTTTAACAAATTTAAATGATAAATTTCCAAGCGAAAAAAAAGCTAAAAATAGTTTTACTGATGAAAATATTTAAATCTTTCATGTATTTTAAATAATCTGTACTTTAAAAATCTTTTTATCATAATTTGTGTAAGGTTATCATTCTTAAATGTAAGGCCTGTTTAAATAACTCTCAAAAGCTCATCCCAACCACATCTTGGATGTGCTTTTATCGAATCTAAAAAAAAGTTTGATCCTCCATATATATACTTTTGTCAACTGAAATTCAAACAAGCACCTACCTCTCTCTCTCTCTCTCTCTCTCTCTCTCTCTCTCTCTCTCTCTCTCTCTCTCTACAGTAGTCTTCCCAACTGAAATAATCAAGATAAGAAAGGAATTGAATATATACTTTATCCCAAAGCGGGTATACAACTTCCGAGATCAATGATCATGTACTAAAGTTCCATCTTCTATATGACATCCGCTCTGCTCCAAAGCAATTTGGAAAAACCCACCTCCGTCAATGCTAGAACTTACACATGGAGGAGCAAACTGCAGAATAACATCTCTTAGTGTGATCAATCCTGTAACTTGCTCTTTTTCATTGATCACAAACGTGAATCTGCTATTCCTCTCTGTCGTCTGCTGCATCAATTGCTTGAGCGTGTCACTTTTCTTGTTGGTTAATGGCGAGTCCATCCTAGGCACACATCTCTTCTTCAGGTGGATGCTTCTTGCGACCATTGAAGCCCCATTATCAATTTCGGTGCTTGCCTTAGTTTCCTCAGGCTTCGAGTGAATGAATTCTCCAACGGTTAAGTTCCTGCTTTTCGGACAAGACAAGCATCAGACATTCAGACTCGTATTTGGTTTTTACTGACAACTATTTTCAGGGAACCCAAAAGAGCACATGTTTGAATCCAATGACTCTTTCATTTACTATCTGTACTCCAGTTATTACTTGACCACATCGAGTGGCTAAAATTTCCAATATCAATTCCATGCCAAGAATTCAGATGTATCCGTTAACCTTACAGGCTTTGAGCCTAATATGGTTTCTCTGTTCTTGAAGAAACACGACAATGTTACTTAAAATCTTAGCCCTCCAAATTAAGAGTCAGGATTTTGAAATTATTTTCTGGAACTTTTTTATGGGTATGTGAGAGAAGGTACCATGTGAGAAAAAGCCAATAGAGAATCTATATGGGGTTTTGAGCTTACTTCCTATTTCTGAAGAGGTCGTCATTTTCTACAAGATGATAGATATCACTGTTCCTGACACAACCAATGAGCTTCTTAGTTTGTCGATCTACAACTGCAACTGTGCAGGTTCGGTTTTCCCAGAGCACATGTAAAGCATCAGCAACAGTTTGGTCCTCGAATACATAACTCGCATGTTCCTGGGCTTCCAATCTGCAGAGGCATAAAGTGAGGTTAAAGAGCTACACAAGTAAAACAAATAGCAAATAGATATATATACCGTAAGGAATGTAAGGGCTTAATACTTGAGATCTGACAAGGCCTTGTCTGCAATATTATCAAACCACTCTAGTCCGCTTGATTCAAGAAGCAATTGAACTAAAGCATTCTAGCACAAAGGCAACCATGTCACTCATTCTGCATATATAAACATTAAAAGAAATATATCTATTCATTTATGATTTGCTTTTAAAGTAATTTATGATCCGCACTACTTGTATAGCCAGCTGGTACAGAGGCCAAAAGCTCGGCAAAATGGATTTGTATCGAACCATTAGAATTTCTCTTGGCTTATATCTAAATAAGCTAAATATGACATCCTTGAGCCAGTGTACTTCTCTACCAAGAGGGTATTGTTTAAATCTTTATTTCATCTCAAACTTGGTGGATACCTGAGTGACTAAACCAATGACTTGGGGATCAGAATGCTGTGTGACCGGCAAAACACGCAGCGGATGCTTAGAAAGAAGCAGCAGCGCATGAAGAAGTGTATCATCCAAATGTACAGGGAAAAATGGTTCCCAAACAAAAGGCTTAGCTAACTCGCCGACCTAGTAAAGATGGAGTAGAACAGAATTGCAAATGGTTAAGAAGTTGATCAAACACAGCAATTATGATAAGGGATAGAGAGAAAAGTAGAGAGGAACCTTGGTGTGTCCAATCTTAGGAATCTGGTCCAGAGTGGAGAAAAAACATGTGCCTTCAAGACGATTCTTCTTGAATTTTTGCGTGAAATTTTCGTACTCCTGAAAAAGATTTTTTTTAGTCAGAATGCTTTGCCATCACAGGATAGATTTGGAGAAGACTGCCGGTATAACTTAATGAAGCTGGGATGTCCAATATTTTTTGTTTGCCCTGTGGTTGTCCAAGAGCAAAGATAGATGAACCAAAATATAACTTCTATTCGTTGGTATTGCATGAAACTTTATTTTTCACCCTTGAACTCTCATTGGCTCGAATTCTCTTTTTGTCTCCCCATGTTTTCCTCAGATAGAAATTATGAAAATCACTAACAGATTAAATACGCTTGTAAGAAGATATCACATCGAAGAAATCCGCAATTCTCGCGGGCAAACATCAACCACGATTCATGAAGTAAAACGACGAAAATGAAATCAATTTATATAAAAACTTAAAAATAGGAAAAGTACATATTGACCAAGTAAATAATATTATACCTGAATACACCAGAGAACCATGGTTGAGAAATCAAGGAAACCGATATACCGATAAGAAAATTCCATGCGGGGTGCATCGGGGTCCAAGACATCCGCAATGGGTGCTCCGAAGAGGTCGTTTTCGTACAGCATGCGAATCGCATCCTTTACACTGTCCCCAGCTTTCAATTCCAAAGCTTGAGAAAGAAAGACGGAGATGGAATCATAAAAGGAATGACCAGATATTCAAACTGGTATGTTTCTGAAACAAAGGCAAAATCGACGAAAACGATTCAAGTACCGAATGAACTTTGGATGCCGGATATCGAACGAAGGGGAATGCGGTCGAGAAATTGTTGAAGAGCGGAGCCAGAATCGATCTGCGATTGCTTATTGTCGTCGTCGTCGTTGTCAGTTGCAGCATCTTTTGAGTCGTGCTTCGCTTTGTGCAGTATTTCCTGCATGATGCTTGATTCTGATTGAACTCACATTGGCTATTTGCGCTTTGAATTTCAGTTTCTCCAATTTTGCTTTCACCATTGGTTCTCACCGCCATCTCAGGCGATTGACTCTAGCACGAATCCTCAAGTTCGTTATACGTGTTTTGCTTTTGGTGATCACTGACCCTGGCAGTAGCCACGAGGCAGCAACACGTTCATGCCAAGTTCCTCAAACTTTTTGTGCACCTTCAATGTATTTCCCACTAATAAATTATATTTCCTCAACTTATTTAAAATTAAAAAAATAAATAATTTTTAAATAATTTATAGATTTTATAAAAAAATTATCTTATAAAGTTTAATAAAAAATAGAATTATTTTATATTTAATTATAATAATTAAAAATAGTTATTAATTAATTATTTTTAAATTTCATGATATCTTTCTTTATTTTTGTTTTATATAAATGACTTATTATTATATTATTTGAAAATTTTATAATATCTTTACATATTTTATTTTTTTAAAATACTCTCTCTCATCTATTATATTATATTATTTTTAAAAATTATTTAAAATAATTTTTTGAAATACTCAAAAATCTATTTTTTAAATTTTTTAAAAAATGATTTTTTATAAAATAAATTAAAACAAATGGGCTTTGAGTCACACAAAAAGAGTTGGTCTCTCGAATTGTTAGAAGGTATTCACATTTAATATTTAATTTTATTTTAGGATTATTTTTAATATAAAAATATTTGCGAGCATTAAAAGATATAGTCTTTTTGTTTAAAAATATAATTATTTTTAATTGAATCTCACTTCTCAATAAAATAATTATTTAATTTTTAACTAACTCTACCTTTTTATTTTTATTCATATTAAACATCCTACAATAAATATAAAGTCATTATGAATAAGAGCACTTTAAAAAAATAATGATTACACTTCAAAAAATTAAAAAAATCTTATAATGTTTAACATCCAACTCTTCTAAAAATAATTTATATTTTTAAACGGAGAGAGTATGTATATTTCCTCAACATTCGTCTGTTCATTCAGCTAAAAAAACAAAAACTATTTATATATGACGAGCGTGAAAAATTCACGTATAAATTTATATTTTTACGTTTATCATTTCTTTATTTTTTTAAAAATATATATATATAAAATATATTATGAAAAAATGATAATTAGATCTTAGAACTTTGATTTAATAACAAATAACAGTTAGGTCCCTCCGGTATTTTCCTCAGATCTAACTATCAAACCTAACTATCATTCATCCTTGTATTATTCTCTCTTTTACCTTCCATTTAGGCGAGAAGAAAAGTTGAAAGAAAAAAAATTAAAAGAAAAAAAATTAAAAAAAAAATATTATCACTCAGATGGATAGGAAAAAAATAAAGAGAAAAGAAAATGAGAAAATATCACAATAATTACATTACCCTTATATTAATACACACACATATATGTTTAATGTAGTTATATGTATAAAAATATATTGAAAATAAACATTATATAAAAATTAACATCATTAAAATAATTTAAAATCAAATTAGTTGGTAGAAATTACTTTCATGTTATTATATTTTAAAACCAAATAATTTAGTAAAAATATGTTATTTTTTATTTACAAAAAATAAAAGTGGATAATTTTTTAAAATTAAATAAATAAATAAATAAATAAATAAATTTCAATTTAGTTCTTGATTAGTTTCTGAGAGCATTTTGCTTTTACATATAGTCATGAGTTTCATAGCAAGCATATTCATAAAAATATGTAGCTTGTAGAGAAGATAGAGACATGCACAGCTCTGAGATAAAGCAATGTGAGGTCATTGACTTTAAGTCAAAGACTTTCATAATCATAAAAATTATATGAATCAGCGTTAAATTATTTTTATAATAATTACCGTCACTTATTATAGTGTAGCAAATATAATGTGAATCAAAGTGCTAATATCCTAAGGCAAAAAATGGAGGGTAGAAGATGACAAAACAAAAAGTTATATGCAAAGAAGCAGAAGTATAGATGTAGAATAAACATTTTTCTCCCAAAATCTCTCCTTTTGTGGAGAGAAAACTTGAAGGAAAAATATAATAGATCTCATATCCCATTTTCTCCTCCACTTCTCCTTTCTCATCCAAATAGGAAAAAAGTTATTTTCTCTCTTATTTTTTTTTAATATTTTCTCCTCATCCAAACAAAACATTAAAAATCCACAGCAGGTTTGTAATGTATTATAAAATATCTAAAGTCTTCTCTCTCTCTCTCTTTTCAATAAATGTAGTTGTGTGAATGTTTAATAATAAATTTTATCAATTATATGTTTATTATGCTAATAAAAATAAATTATATATTTAATATATTTTATTAATATTAAACTTAAAAAAAAGAAAAAGAAAAGGCAAATGACCAGGCGTCATCCAGCCGTGGCTCCGACTAGTGCGGCCAACCTCACCATCATTACATTTGACGATTCCCACTCGACGAACTTGTTGCTTGGTCATGAATTTAGCCCAAATTTTGTTAAACCAAAAACTATTGTGGTCAACCTCACCATCACTACATATGGGCACAGAAAATTTGTGTGAAAGGAAAACGTGCTTCATTTTATTAACGTTCATGGATCTTCACATCACACTTTATTAACTCTTTTTACATGCAGCAGAGCAGCTTCTATTTTACATCTACCAAAATGGCCGCTGCTCCTGCAACTGCTTCCTTCATTGCACAGAGACAGACAGGAAACTGGAAACTGTTAGCCTTTGTGTGTCTCCTCACAGTTGAAGTTTCCTCAACATTTTTCCCAGAACCTTCACAACTCAGCTGGTGAGACTAAGCATAGCCACCACCATTCATATCACACTGCCATCTTCAATTGTAGCCTTCTCCAAGATGACAGTGATCCCTGATCGTATGTAAAATCCATCATCTGGCCTAGCTGCTTCTTGAACACCATCTTTATTCATGATGACCACATCCTTACCGATCTTCGCATTCTTGTCAATTATACAGTTCCTTCAACAGCAACAATGGTTTCGATATTAGCATTGAGCAGATAAATTGCTTTTTCTCTATTCATGACAAAGATACAGTAACCACACTGTTTACAACTTTGAAGGCCACTGAATTAATGAGATGATAGTGTCCATCTTAACCTTAGGACTTAGTATGACTTACCTGATTTTCGTATTGCTCCCAATCCCAATTGGGACCTTCCTTTCTGCTAGCAGAGAAGCAATTTCAGCTTCTGTTTGGTAATAGTCTGCTCCCATCATTACAGTGTCCTGTAAACCATTATTTTAGATAGGAGGAATCTTATACGGTGTAGTCTACACTCTAGAACCCTGAAGTTTATATAGTTAAGAACTAGTGATCGCTTATATTTACCAGGAGCTCAACACCATAATCCAAACGAGAACGTTCGCCCACAATGGAATGCTGGACCGTACATTCTCGAAGGAAACATCCATGAGAGATAATTGCGTCCACAATCTACAAGACCCAATGATGAGAAGCAAGACATACTATGAAGTTACTAGCACACTTCTAGTTAACTTGCTAAGCTGTCTTACCTGACACTTATCAATCTTCGTCGGTGGCAGGAAACGTGGAGATGTGAAAATGGGTGTCTTGGGATCATAAAATTCAAACTTCGGATTCTGTGGGAGGGAAAGGATAGACCAGATATTAGTTTCCCTCAAAGGAACAAGGACACTGTCAACAGTTCTGGCCATCAATTGAAATAAGAGTTTCACTGTGATTAGGCCTATATATTACACAAAAATTGTTCAAAGCACAAAGCAACCAGTGCTACATTTCAAAGAAATCATTATATGGCTCTTTTGGGTCTACACATTTAGAAAGCTATAATCTGCAATGAGATGGTGGCCGCATTCTTAGTGTTGAAAGTAAAACAAGAGATAGTAAAGCATCTAGGGTTCGTGGTTTAATCAATGCATGGTTGGTATACTAAAAAGCAGGGAAGACCATTAAATAATGATATACAAATCTGCCAATCATAATATCTTGAACCCACCTCTTCCGTAAGAGCAAGGTTAGCATCGTAAAAGGACTCTATAGTTCCAATGTCTTCCCAATAGTCTCTGAAAAAATATGCCTGCAAAAACAATAGGCGTATGAGTAGTATAAGTGACTTGCTAAATGCACAAGTAAAAACAGAAAAAAGAAGCCAAAACCCACATATATTCACGGCTGGCAAGGTGACTATGCATAATAACATTGCCCAGAGAAAAGGGCATTCAGCTTGTGATAAATGAAAGCTAAGATTTAATATTAGAAAAGAGAAACATCTTGAAGAGAAATCTATTATGGATTTTCTCTTACCTGGACATTATGTTCTCTCACAGCTGCAGGAATGATTTCAGATCCAAAGTCATTGGATGTAGGATATCTCCATTTCAAAAGCTTGAGCAGAACATCTGTCTTAAAAACATAAACCCCCATGGACGCTATATATGGTGACTTTGATGCATCTTGGTTTGACAAACCGATAAAGGAGGTATCTACTTGCTGTAAAGAATATAAACGAGACATAATTATGTTGACATATGTTATGATATTTCTATAATGTAAAACAAACACATGGAACCTTCAATTTTGCAAAATGATGACACAATTCTTGAAGGAATAATTGAGTTTTGATTGGCACAAAAGCAACCAAAGTGAGCTCTGTTTTCAATCAAGTTCCTTTTAACATGTTAAGTTCATCAATTTTGAGTAAAATGAACTTCACAGCAGATATTGCCGTGGTAAGATATTCATTCCCAGAAGGGTGGGAAAAAGACTACATTGAAACTGAAGATGATAATTTATCTTAGCTTTGTGCCATTGACCAACTTCAAAAGAACCGTCTGGAAAAGAAGACAGCTGAAAGAGTGATAATTTTAGCTATTATAGTAATTACCATTGCTTTCAGATCAGCACCCTTTGGTTTCTCTGAAAATTGGGTGATGCGGCCTCTGCCATCTACCTTGACCAATCCATAATCTGAGGCGCGACTGAAAAGCAAGCAATTGGCAATGAATATCAAATAATATTAAATTTGAATTGATTCATTTCAAGTTATCATTTCTATATTTTCCCTCCTCCTCTTTCCAGCATTTTTCATGTTCAATAAAGTACGCAGGTAATTTGAGTGAAAATAAGTAAAATAGTTATAAGTTGATATTCTTGCAGCATCACATGTCATAGTTACAATCAAGCAGCAAACTTGGCCAGACCAGGCACAACAAAAAGAAGATTGAACACACCTATCACCCGCTGGGACGCATGAAATTGTAATATCAGCATTTCTATCAACATGACTCTGTTCATTTATCATAGATATATCAGGAAAAAAAATGAAATTTAAAGGAAGAATTAATTTATTTGAATAAATAACATATTGCATACCTGCACAAGGTCCATGTAATCCATTCTATATAGATGATCTCCTGCCAAAATCAGTACATTCTCAACGTTTGTGTTCTTGGCATCCTACAAAAATCAACCAATGGCAATCCCGTTTAAGTTGAGAATAAAGAAGCAAAGCTGTATATATTACAATAAGGTAAATACTGAGTTTGTTTTACACCTCAAACACCCATGTAAATTGTCTCACAGCATCTGCAGTCCCTTGGAACCATTTCTTCCCAGCTTCTCCAGGTGTCTGTGTGGCTGCTAGAACCTGTTTCGCATTTGAGTTATCTTTCAATCATCATGAGTAAGGACTTGCGTTAGAAACACTTGGGGTTGAACAATTTTCCCCCACCCAAAAAAAAAAAAAAAGAAGGGAAGATGCCTCATACTTTCTGTATCAAGTGTAGCAAACAAACAGGAAACAGAGTCTTGAAGACTGTATATAATTTATTATTATTTTAGTGAGAGCAAAAGATTCATTTTTCTCTTGTCCAAAGTTATTGTCAATTTTAAGACATGTTTATAAATGTTGTGCATGAAATCATCTGAGCATATGATGGCCTGCAATAGTTTCTCTCCATTAGTTGATGCATACCTCCACAAATCCATCCCCAAAGCTGACACCGTTTCCAAAGTAGGTGCGTGAGATATGACGGTTCAGGGATGCAGAATTGAATTGGGTGAGTACAAAGATTTTGTTAATGCCACTGTTAATACAGTTGCTCATTGGGATGTCTATAAGTCTGTAGCATCCACCAACAGGTACCTGAAGATGCATAACATAAGGTATCATTATGAGGACTCCAAAATTTGGCGTGTTAAAGATCTCTATCTTCTGAAGTTAACCTCAGTATCGATTGGCTCAGATAAAATTGTGTTGCATCGCTATAGAACTTAAAAAGTTAATGGGAGAATGACAAACAAGGACCTCATAAGAAAATTATTATAAAACAACGACCAACAGGTTCTTCTTTTACATTAATTTCCTTATTAGGTCTTTAATCGTCGTTCTCCCAAGTCTAATTTTGTTTCAAGTTCATCCGTGAAAAAATGATACCGAAGAGTCCTTTAATAAACTTAGAAGTAGCAGAGCAAAAAAAAGTTGAAAAGCCATAGTTCCTCTTCAGAGGACCAAATTCTTCAGTGAGATGCTATGAACTATCAAACATATTCCACTTACAGCAGGTGTTGCAGCTCGTTTGGTGAGGGGAAAGAGTTGTATTCCAGGTCCTCCACCCAATATGATGGAAATTACATTTTTGGGGTCAGCCTTTCGCCTCAGAAACGAAGGAACCTGTAAAGTCTGGTACTCAACCTAACATTAAGAACAACAACCAATTACACCTCAACTGCTAAACAATGCAGCCACAAAAGAAACCCAGTTAGAGTTAAACTTACCAGAGATTCTTCGGTATCATTTGATGTAAGAACAGCAGAAACAACGCCGGGTCTGATCTTCTTGACCCTCCTCTCGTGTCTCAAACTTGAAGTCGACTGATTCACAGAAGGGCTGATGCAATTCATGCTTTTGATTTTTTCCCCAAAAAAACCATTATCTTGGCGAAAGAAATCGCCATTTCTTGCATTTGGTAAATGGTTATTGGCTCTCAAGGTCACACATGAGGAAGCCATTGGCGAAACAGAGCAGAAAGTTCAGGTGCCCAAAAGAAGAAGTGTATCAATGGCAAGAACTGGAACAAACAGATGAAGTCAAATCTCACAGACTTGAAAGTCCGACCACAAGGAACCTAAGTGAACCTCCAGATACGGCACTAACTTTTCTCGAATATTCAAAGTTGCAGTTAGAGAATAACGCAAATCAAGAAGATGAAACGCGGAAATGTAAAACTAATCCTTACCCTTTACTCAAAGTTGCTAAAAAAGAAGAGATATTTGGAGCTTAACAAAATGGGGATCCAGAGAAGCGGTCAGAGTCCAGAGAGATTATGGAAAATTGAGAAGCTTTGGGATGAAAAGTCAGGGGCACCCCAATTGTGAGTGTGAAATGCGATCAAGTGGTGTTTAAGGCAGTGGTGGACTTCATCGGCATGTGAGTCCTCACGAGACGAAAAAGGTGGCGAAAATCACCCTTACTTCCTTGGCTTTATATTCTCCCTCCATTGAATGAACGTATGATATTTTTAATTAAATTTTATTTTTTAATAAAATAATTATTTAATTTTTAATTAATCTTATTTCTATATATTATTCTTATTAAATACCCTATAATAAATATAAAATCATTTTTAATAGAGTTACTTTTAAAAAAGGCAATGATTACACCTCAAAAGACTAAAATACCTTATATTTTTTAACATCCAACTCTTTAAAAAATGTCTTATATTTTTAAACGAAGTAAATATAAAATATTTTAATCAAATTTGATGAACTAATAAAAATTTATTGTTTAATAAAAATCATATAAAATCACAATAATTTTTTAATTTTATTTTTAATAATATCATAATTAATATTATAATAATAGTGAGTATAATACAAGATTATTGTTTCTTCCATTTTTTAAGATAAGAATGAAATTGTTTAATTATTTAAAAATATTATGACACCCTTTATGTTTAATAAAAAATAAATTTTTAAAAAATACCTTATACATGAGAGCAAAAGAGTGTTTTGTATAGATCAATATCAATTTCCAAAATCAATAATGAAGTAAAAAACTAATACTGCCTCTAATCCAAATTATAAAATATTTTCGGGAGAGATTCAGCATTTTAAGATATAAGAAAATTTGAAAAAAATGAAATTTTATTAATGATATGTTTTTTAATATTATTCTTCCTATTATATTTTCTTTCTTTAATATTCTTTCATAAATAAAGTATTAAATAAAAGATATTTTTTAAAATTTATATTTTTAGTTTAAAAAATAAAATTATAAAGTATATTTAATTGGTATGTGTAATTTTATCTAAAAATATTTTATAATTTGAGATAAAGAGAGTGTTGCCTTAGTCTTATATAAGTCACCTAAGTTCTTCCTAACTCATTAGTTTAGAACTCAGATGAAATTATTGATGTTGTTTGAAACAAGAATCATTTACTTCTTATTAAATTAATCATCTTTAAATACATTTTATATGTAGTTACTCTACTAATAAAATAAATTGTAAGAGGATAAGATTAGAAAGAAATGATTAATAATTTATTTTTTATAAAAGACTTAATTTTTTTTAAAAAAAAAGTGGCTTACATGACATAGGACTTAAAATAAATAGTAATTTAGTATTCTCAACCGAGACAACGGGATTATATATTAGTTACTTTTTAGAACAATTTGATGGTCTATATTGATAACTTTTATATAAAAAAATATAATATTAATTGGATTTTTTAAAAAAATTACTCCTATTTACAATTTCTTGGGATTTTTTTAAAATCATCTTTTCGAACAGAAACATGAAAAATTATTTCATTCTTAAATCATTTCAATTATTTAACGATATATATTTTTAGTTTCGGATAGAAGTACTTTATACGACAGAACTAATGAAAGCCATTAAAGAACAAGCTGTCAATTTCAAGTACTAGTCGTAAATGAAATCAAACATCAAATATTGGGGAAATTGATATGATTTTCTACGGTTGGTATTTGCTTGAATTTCACAATTAAGAACATTTAATCATCATTGGTAGCCAATTTGGTCAGTTATTTGCAGCCACTTGTTGCATATTTTGGAAATTGATGACAGCACAGCATGATTGAGCTCAAAATATGGTATGGGTTTCATTTTTATTGCTGTGATTGTATGGAAGTTGAGGATTGATTTCTGGTTCATCTTTACGTTTATTGATTTAAATCTTCTTTAATGATGTTTAAGTCAAGTTCTGAGAAGAAAGGATTATTTAATTGAGGAGCAAATGTCGAAAAGCCACGAGACATATGGCCGAGTGAAGCAAGGTGATCTGATCTCTGCCTTTCTTCGAACGGGGTTGAATTGAATGGTAAGAGATTTAATGTCCCTTTAAATAAAATTTTGAATTCAAATTTTATGATTTTATTAAAAAAAATCCACGAAGTTTCCTAGTTAAATCCAATTAACGCAGCTTAAATTCGGATTAATTGGCCTGATTTAGTGCAGCTATATAATTAATGAAATGGACCTTTAAGCCTGTGCTAGTGGCTAGTTGAAGCTAAATAGGAAGTATAATAACTCATTAGCCGAATTATTCAAAAATGCAATCAATCGGTTGTTATTCAATGGTAATAATTAAAAGGTGGATCTTTTGATAATTGAGTTGGGAATTGGGAAGTCTTCTACATTTTTAGTGAAATTATTTTTAAAATTTTACAATTTGGGGTAAATTGTTAGTTTATTTTATCATGCATGTTTTTATTTATTTATACCAAGTAAAATTAATATGACTAGCAGATGTTTTTATTATCTAAGCTGGTGATTAAATGTTTAAATTTTAACATTTATATAATAATTTAGTTTGAAGAAATTTATTCTTTACTTTTAATATTTCAGGAGAAATAACCTTTGTTATAGATGGAACATATTTCTTATACTTAAAAAAATATATTTTTATTATATTTTAATGAATTAATCTAGTAATAAAAGTATAAACAAAGTAGCAGGATGCTAGTTTGATGAATTCTAGAGGGGCCCGCTAAACCCGGGTCCAAACAAGTAGATTCTTTCAAGGCAAAGAGCTGTCAAGAGATTTCACTTCGTAATTCGAACTTCGGAGGTATATTTTATACTATATTATATTAAATTAAATTATTAATAACAATTATTGAATAACGAATGGACGGTTCCCAGAATATTTGCGAAACAGGGGGCCCACAACCATTTGTTCTCAATGATGGGCCCACGTGACCCACATCATATCTGTATTTGTGGATCGTTTGCGTTGCAGTCTAGCCTGGGCCTACCAACGCCCATGTGACCTTTAGGGATATCCGATCATTTTATAATTTTCTTTTTGGCCGAATTTTGATAAATACAATTCCATTTAATTAACATGTTTGGCGTTTTTCAATTGAAAGACATGCATCAAATAGTCCATTATGCATGTTTATAAAAAATTGAGGATAACTGCTCTTTATGTGGATCCACATGAAGCCCTTGATCGTGACCTTCAATGGCGAGTATGTAGAGATATTTGTGTGCAAAATTACACTTGTCATATATATATATATATATATATAGTTTCAATTTCAATAAATAAATTTAAATATGTAATTATTTAATTATTTTCAAAATATAAAATACAAAATAACATCTCACCAACTAATTTGTTAATAATAACAATTTATACTAAAAAGGCTAATTGTCTCTCAATGAAATTTAGATTATCAGAATGCACATCTCTTGAGAAGTGCATGAAATGTAATGTAAGGGATGAAGTTTTCTTGTGCCATTTTAATCACGTAAATAAAATTCTATTTAAAAGCTATTGCCAATTTTCCATTTTGAATTTAAATGAATATTAAACGATCAAATGTTGCCCTTGATTTAAACGAGTATGCCAGATCAAAATTTTATTCCATTCACAGTCAACATTTTTATGGATTCCACATTTCTCAACTTTGTTTTAAAAAAAATTACTTCTAATGTAAAATAAATATCATTTAAGGAGTGTTTAGATATATTTTAAAAAATTATAATTTTAAATTCATAATTGATTTTAATATATAAAAGAGTGTTTATATATATATTTTTTTAAAATCATGGTTTTAACCTTTAAAATTGATTAACTTAAAATTCCAATCATGCCATTAATCTATAACCAGCTCGGGTTTAGCATTTTCAAACCATTTAACTATAAAAACACACTTTTCTTGCACAATTTCTTTCAAAACATAGGTATTCCTTTTCAGTTATGAAAACTAACTTCTCTCAAAATACAAGCTAGCTATAATGTAGGGGTGGATATTTTGTGATTAAATCTATTTTATTTTATGTATAAGAGTTGAAAATTAAAACGCAAACCATTTGTTTCAAGATACGAAAGCTTTCTACGGGCTACATGAAGCTGAATTGGTCAAAATGCTAATAAATTTTGATTAGAACATGAAAGAAGAATAGGCGTTGATAATTGAGGAAATGGGAGAAGCGAAGAAGAAGTGAAAGACATGAAATTAATAGTATATTAGTTGACAGGGAGTGAGAAGTGGGCCCAGATTACCCAATGATGCCTTCACCGTCCACGTGTCGGGATAAATCTGATGAGAGACAATGGCCACTTGAAGGGCGACGCCGCTGCAGCAGCAGCATTGGAAGAAAGTGGAATGAAATGCGATGCAGCCCAGAAATATCAAAGCTTCTCGGTTGCCATCAACACCAAAACGAAGCAACCAACCCATAAAACGACAAATATTTCACGTGCCCTGCTGCTCCAACCCTTGGCGCTTACACACTGTAGCATCACCACCTTGTTCAATTATTGGCACTTACTATCATGCCTCCCCTAACATTATTATAATCTTCACTCATCTCTAAAGTCTATACCCATGATTTCTGTCATCAAATCTTTCAAATATTATACCTTTTTTTAAAAAAAATTCATGCTGCATAGAAAATGCAGACTGATTTTATCCGTCTCCTCTTTTTTATAGGATATTTTTTTAAAAAAATTCATCTTTAGTATAACAATTGATGAGATATTAATTATATTTTATTAATGTTATCCTTATCTACACTCATTAATTATGAGTTAGAATGCAATATAAATTTAAAAGATTTTTATTTAAGTGAGGATAAAATTAAAATTTTACTATATTTTTAAACAAAATTAATAATTTAATCATTCCTCCTCCATGGTTCTAGTGAGTTAATAAAATAGGGTTGGATTAACTATAATAGAGGGCAATGGTGGAGTCAGGAATTTAAGTTAGGGGACAAAGCCAAAATTTTAGTACAAGTAAAACCTTCTTGTCTCTTCAAAATTCATTAAAACTCTTTATTTTTTTCATTGTTTGTTTTTTAATTCAACTTTCAATATTAGACTTGCAAGTGCAATGAGTTTACTCTTAATTTTTGAATTTTTATTCTTTATTATCTTTTTTCCCAACTAGTATTCTTAGAATGAGGATG